CCCCAAAACCCCAAAACCCCAAAACCCCAAAACCCCAAAACCCCATCCAGTTCTAATAATATTGAAAATAATAAATCAGATAGTAATGGAGGAGAAAGATTCAAATAATGACGCTTCTGGCAAAGTTCGGCTTCTGAACACACCAGAGTCTTCATCAACGAACCAAGCTTCCAATCTTCGGAACTCAATGGCTAAGAAAACCCTCAACGAAGATGTTGAACAGCATTATGTGTTATATTTCTACCTCTTTTCGGTGTTGGGGCTTGTGAATAATCTTGGATATGTCATGGTCGGAAGTGCTGCCCACAATCTCGCTGATAAATTCGACCATAAGTCATTAATGCCTTTATTTAACTTATGTGAAATAGTTTTTGGAAGTCTTGTCAGATTTATTAACTCAAAATATTTGATCAACATTCGCCACTCCATCAGACTAACTGGAAACGTCATTGTCATGATTGTCGCATACCTACTAATAGCTGCCATTACGATTCATCCAATCGGAGCAAGTTTCTATATAGCTCTATTTTGTGCACTTCTCCATGGAGTCACTTCATCCTTTGGGGAGTCAACTCTTCTTGGATTTCTTAAAGGATTTCCAAGCAAACAAGTCGGATCTTTCAGCTCAGGTACTGGCATGGCTGGTGTATGAGGATCAGGCATTTTCCTATTACTTGGCTCATTTATGAGCGATGGCTTCGTCTTTTTAGCAGCAACCCCAGCTATTTTGTTTTACTTCATGAACGTTATGATCACATCTAAGAAGAAATCAACACTACCTTTTGTAGAGGAGAACCCGCAGGCACAAGCTCGGGCAGAATCCATCAGAAGGTCTATGGGCTCCAACAACGACCTTACTAATAGCGCTGATGATAATGAAATTACCAATGAAGAAGATGAAGGCCTCGAAGGAATTGAAATGGGAGAAGACGCTGAACAAAACTTACAAATGGGCTTTGCCAGCTTCAAGCTCGTCCTATCAAAAATTGGTTGGTACACTCTCAACCTCTTCCTTGTCTACTTCCTTGAGTATTCTGTCACTGTAGGATTTGCAGATGCTTTTAGTAATAAACTTCAAAAATATGCTGAAGACAACGATGATATGAACGAAAATAGCTTTTTCATCAAAAATGTGTTCACAATATTCGCTTTTTGTTATCAATTCGGAGTCCTGATTTCAAGAAGCTCTCTGTCTCTGATTAAGATAAAGCGGGTAGAGATTGTCACATTCCTACAGATCTTAAACTTCATCTTCTTTTTCCTCAATGCTCAGCTATTTTTCTTGAAGAACTACTTTGTCATGATTGAAATTACTGGCTTCAGTGCCAAAATTCTACATTTCAAAAAATTTAATAGAGATTGGGGTTTTGGGGTTTTGGGGTTTTGGGGTTTTGGGGTTTTGGGG